GAGTTTGAGCAAACCCTGGGAGTTGGTGATGGACAGGGAGGCCTGGCGTGCTACAGTCACAAGGAGTCAGACAAGACTGTGTGACTGAACTGAACAGACTGATGTGAGGTGAAAGACATGTTAACTAATCTGACTGTGGTAATCATTTCACAATATATACATGTATGAAGTCAGCACATTGTACATCTTAAACTTACACTATGTTATGTGCCAATAAAGTCATTCTTCTTAGAGCTCCCCTGGTGGCTCAGAAGGTAAAGCATTTGCCTGCAATGCGGGACATCTGGGTTTGATCCCTGGGTCAAGAAGATGCCCTGGAGAAGGAAATGGCAACCCGCTCCTGTATTCTTGCCTGGAAAATTCCATGGACAGAAATGCCTGGTAGGCTACAATCCACGGGATCGAAAAGAGTTGGACACAACTGAGCGACTTCACTTTTTCTTTTTCTTTTCAAAGCTGGGGATAAACCAGTAATAGCAATAGTCATAGTAATAGCAACATTAATCATAACAGCTACCAATTATTATATCCATTACTTCATGCAAAGCATTCTTGTATCCACATAGCATATTATCTCACTTAACATAGTCATGCCATTGGTCATAAGCCCAGAAGATACTATGCTTTCATGTGCAGCCTGGAGATTCAGTACAGTCTACAGATTGTAAGATGGGACATGAGGTCTCAGAAAAGCCCTATAGGTAAGGCAAAAGAATAGGCCCAGATCCCAAAGAAGAACCTGGAAAAAAACCTAAGGATTTTCCAGATCCAGTCTTAGGGGCAAGTTTTGCCTTGTAATTTTATGGCCAGGTCTCACAGCTTAAACACCGTGTCTTTTGGCTCACCTAAATCATTTACATTTGTCATTTACTGAGTGCTTACTGTTCAATCCACCAATAGTGATCAAAAGCTGAAAAGTCCTGACCAAGAACCATTTAAATAGAGTCTGAATACATGGAATTTGGAAATAGGTTTTGCTGCTTCTATGGCACATCAGGTTAAAGTTGGAAGTTTTCATTTGTAGCAGTGATTGAGAGATCATGCAAATTGTATATGGCAGCCCTTAGAGCAGACTTGAGGCATTAACATATTTAGTTTATGAGAATTAAATATGTAGCATCTTCTGGCTTTATTACCAATGCCATATGAGGATTAAATTCTATGTTAGAGAAACCATGGTAATTTCAGAATCTGAGTGATGGGTACATTCATGTGTGTGTGTATTAGTTGCTCAGTCCTGTCCAACTCTTTGCGACCCCACAGATTGTAGCCCGCCAGGCTCCTCTGTCCATGGAATTCTCCAGGCAAGATGACTGGAGTGGGTAGCAGTGCCCTTCTCCAGGGGATCTTCCCAACCCAGGGATCAAACTCAGGTCTTCTGCATTGGCAGTCAGATCCTTTACCATCTGAACCACCAGGGAAGCCCTGGGTAAGTTCATTACATTATTTTAATCTTGTCATTCATAAAGGAAAAAAGAAATTCCATGTGGGCCTTGACGTGAAGTTATTTGTCTGGCTTACCTTGCTTGTGTCCTTTTAGGTATTCTTTCTTTTTAGGTATTCTTTCTGTCCTTTTAGGTATTCTTCCTCTAGAGATGCCTAGCGGATCCCTAGACAGACAGGCTACAGTCCGTGGGGTTGAAAGGAGTCGGATACAACTGAGCCACTAACACTTCACTTTTCATTTTCACTGTCAAACACACTATGGGACAGCTTTAATTAAACAATACCAATTTACCATCATACTTAATACTTGCTTATTAAAGTGTTGTGTGAGAAAAACACAAAAGTTCATTGTTCTTAGAAGCAACATAGCTATATACATTTCTTAGGCTTGCTTCTTCTATCAGGGCTTCCCTTGTGGCTCAGCTGGTAAAGAATAGGTCTGCAATGCGGGAGACCTGGGTCTGACCCCTGGGTTGGGAAGATCCCCTGTAGAAGGGAAAGGCTACCCACTCCAGCATTCTGGCCTAGAGAATTGGCCTGTATAGTCCATAGGGTTGCAAAGAGTCGGACATGACTGAGCAAGTTTCACTTCACTTCACTTCTTCCATCATGTTAAACTATATGAAAGACACAGCTGACATGTAATATGCTTAGTGAAAGCAGTAGTTAAGTTTAGAGACTGAATTTGAATCTAGATTAAGACCTGCTAATCGCATCAAGTAAGTAATCTTGCTGAGCCTCAGTATACTCATCCGTAAAATGGGGATAATAATAATAATAATACTTGCTTCATAGGGCTATTGGGATGATTACATGAGATGATGTAAAGTATGTGAAGATGTGTAAAGTATGTTAGATAGTGCCTGCTATATAGTAAGCACCCAATAAATGACAAACATAACTAAAATTTGGAAAGGAAATTTTAGGAATTATATTTACAAAGAGTCATTTTTTATTTAAAAAATGAGCTAGAATCTTTAAAAAGAAAAGACCTTAAAAGGGAAAGTAAGCTTGTCTATACTTATTTAGATGAAGTTGAATAAAAGTCTATTCCTGTTTTAATGCAGTGATCTAATTAACCTTTTGCCAGTATTAAAATGACCTTGAGTTGGTCCTGTGACCTCAACTGCTTCATGTTGTTGACTTTAAACAGGCTTTTTGGGATGGTCAGAAGTAGCATCTGGTGAGACAAGCAAAAGGTCAAATTCATTTACTTTGTAATAAATAGCAAATATATTTTACATTAGCTGCTTACAAACAGAAAGAGATGCATAAAATTCTTTGTCAGAACAAGAAGGTAAGAGAGTACACAAGGAATTTAAAATAAATCAAAATTTCCAAAAAGGAGCCAACATTGATTTTTGGTCACACGCCACTTATTTTATACCAGAAAGTGATTAAATTATTCATTTTTATAAACTAAAGAAATACATTTCCAGCTAACATTAAAATGAAGTAAAGATGAATCTAATTAAACAACACTGATTTATCATCATAAACATTCCTGTCTCAAGCAGAGAAATCACTGAGCTCTATCTAGTGAAAGGGAAAAGATAAATGTAGCTTGTGGAAATGTCAGAACTGTAGAACTGTATGATTTCTAAAACTCTCCCTTGTTTTACAAATGTTTATGCTTCAAAAATCAAAACTCTAGTGGCATCTTCCACGTTACCCACAAACTCGAGGGTGCACGACTCAAAAATAGTCTGTTTTATCAACAATGATGTGGGGAAAACTAGTTTCAAAAGAGAATCCCAACCATCAATAATATTAACTTGTTTAATCAAAACCAATCCACACAACCACATCTGATTTTTGTACCTCTTGAAATCTTGGTGGAGTTTTTTATTTTTTCTCCCAGACTATTTGTAGAGCAAGTTTCTTTCTATTTATATAACTCTAAGCTGAGTTTCATTTGTATGTAATCATCATCATGACTTGATACAGCAAAAGTAGCCATATCTTTTTATTTACAAATTTCATTTATCAACTTCGTGTCCATTTCTTTTTCAAAAGAACACCAAAAGGAGAGCATGAAAGCATTTAAATACACTGCTAATATGTGTGCAGCCTAGTATCTTTGAAATGAAACAAGTTCAAGCGCCTGTCTGTCCAGCATTGTTAAGAAAGATTTGTAAAGTATCTTCTTATTGGAAATACATCCAGCTTCTCTCTCTTCTCTGTAATAATAGTAAACTGGTTAGTGGATATTTGGCTTCTGTACATAGTTACACATTATACAAAAGCACACTTTATGCCTCAAGTGATCTTGTAGGGCCATCATTCGCCTTATGTTCCTCTAAGCGCAAATGTTTACCTCTCTAGCAGGCTCATTCAGTTATCATTTATATCAGTTATCAGTTACAAACTGATCATTCCTATCCCTCCATTATTAATTTTTTATTGCCCTTCAGATCATGCTCCATTTTTCAAGTGGTGTTTCAGAGCCTAAATCATTTCTCCTTGCAAAAAAAAAAAATTCAACCATAAATGCCAACTATTTCTGCTGCATTATCATTTGTAATGTCCTAATTATTTTACATAATCAATAGCATCAAGTCCCTTTTCTTGGGGACTTTCTGTTTATTTACATTTTATTCTACACACGTCAGTTTCCATCAAGAGCAAAACTGATTTTCTTGTCCTGCTCTGCACTCAAGACAACCTTAATTCACCCTAAATCTATTTGTGTTCACTGCATAGTTAGACCCAGTGGGTTATGTTGATATAATTCTGGGGCCCAACGTATCATACTCTGCAAAATGTGTAACTTGAAATGCTATCCTGATGATGACCAGGCGACTAGAGGGGGCGTTTTATTTCATTGTTGTTATTTTTGCAGAGGTCTCTGTTTATGATGTGATGCATTTGGGCCTAAGCACATTAGCTGCATTATTCATTGGGTTCATTTGTCAGAACATGCATGTGTATAAAGAACTAATGATCCATATTAAATTAATGGCGCTATAAAAAAGAAAAATACTCCATACAAGCAGCTATGTCAGAAACTACAGACTTTGATAAACCATAGAAAGGACCTAATCAGATGAAGCATTGGACTGTTCTGTCTTCCGAAATTACATTTCTAGAAATGTACTTGTACACAATGTTGGTTTTATTAAAACAAATTAATTCAGTCATTAAGGAATCATAAGGCAAGTGTCTCATAAGTCAGGACCTCCAGTGTAACAAATTGATTAAATGACTGTGTAATAGTCTCTTTAAACAAATCTAGTGTAACAAGTTAATAGATCTGCTCAATTACCATGCTGGGGTGATGAGGATGTGGGCGCCTCTCTCATTAAATCCGGGAGATTGTTCTTAAGAGTTTTTTTCCCCTTTTCTCTCTATTTTTCCGTGAGAGCCCTGGGTTGTGTTTTGGATTTGAGGTTTATTTTTAGGCCTCTGAACATTGATTGCTCTAACGGAATTAAAAATAAAAAACTGAATTTGATGCTGCTGACTTCTCTAGAAGATTTGTCAGCTGCTGTTTCGTATCGGTGTTCCTTTCTCTCTCTCCCTCTTTCTCTCTCTCTTTCTCTCTCCCTCCTCACCTCAAACCTGAGCATCGGGCGTTGGTTGAAGGGATGCAGGGTTCCCCAAACGGTCCTCTGGATTCGGTACCAGAAATAGGGAAGGCCCTCGGGGATCAGGTTAGACTGCCCTGGTTTAGCAAAATTGACAGCAAAGCGTTCTAACCGGGAAAACGGGCTGACGACGTGCGGGGAGGGAGGCGGAGTGGGTGGCGTGGCAGAGGTCACCTACATTTCTTCTGAGTCGGGAGTTTAACGGTGTCCGGACTATTGAGCCTCGGGTGGATTTCATAGAAAGTTTTTCCTCCAGGCTTCTACACGGGAGAGGGAGATTTGCCATCAAGTCCCCCGGCCTTCCTGGGCCTTGTTCATTTCTTCTTAATTTTCCAGAAGAAAACAGGGAGGGGAGACCATCTCAGAAAGTACTCGAGGCGGGGGTGGGGCTCCCGGTCCCTGAGTACCGAGACGGGCCTCGAAGGAATGAGGGGCGGAGCGGGAAGATGGGAGGGAGGCAGGGACAAGGGGGTTGGAAGGAAGAGGTAGTTTCAACCAAACACCCTATAATGACTTCTCTCTCTGGTGTGTGCTGAAATCCTCGAATCGAAAGAGAGAGACCAGACACGCAGCACCCCTAGGAGCTTTTCCTTTCCTCTCAGCTCCGAGGATGCTCATCGCGAGCTGTTTCTGAGGTTGGGACGGGGCAGAGTAACTTCGTGCCTCTTACCTTTTCCGATGCCCATGACACCCTCTCGCGAAGGCCCTGGAAGAAAAATCTATTACCCCACTGCCATTTTGTTAAGTGTTTGCTCCTGCGATGTGACCCTGCCACTTTATCTGTTGGTTTTTATTTTCTGAGTGCATGTTGCCCATATGTTACTCTAATAGTTGCTATAATTCTTGAGCAATGGGGCTCGTATTTTACGGGGCTGAATTAAAAAGAATGCACTTTAATAAAAACCTGAGCAATACACTAATGGCCTGACATTGATGTATTTGCATAGAGATGAATTATACGGGCCGGCTTGACACGACTTTTAATAAATGATTGAGGAGGTTATTATAAGGATGCACTTTCGTGTGTGTTAACAGGTTATTTTAGTGCTTCCGTAGCCAAAACTGGGAGCAACACAGTCCTGCTGCACATGGTTGGAGGGTCCTTTTTGTCTTACATCTCGTGACATTTATTGGGACCGCTCTGTCCCCATATTACCTTCGCAAACTGCGTTTTATTAACCATTAGTGCGTTCACTGTGAATGGAATCGGGGAAATGAAGAAGAAAAATGAAGCCGCCCCTCCCCCCCATTAGCCATCAAAGTAGTCAATAATGAGCGTTTGACGCCAGTCGCCCTTCTTCGGAAGTCACAGAGGGCTGGCCAAGCTTAACTACAAGCGCAGGACAAGCAGCGGCTCTCCCGGGAACCGCACAGCGAAATGCCGCCGAACAGGAGAGACGAGAAAACACTAAGAGACCAATTGTGGACGACTCAGAAAGCGTCCGCCGCCGAGACTGTGGGCACGTGGACCAAGAGGGTCTCTGCACTCAGATTACCCAACAGCTCAGACGCTCCCTAGAGGAGGCACCCAAGAGGATACGTACAAATACCTGCTTGCAGGCGCATCCTTTTGTCCTGCTTGAATTTCTTTTCATTACGTGGGCGAACTACTTAGTAAACCAGGAATAAACTATTTAAAAATATATTTGCAACTGCAGAAGACCCTGCCGTCCCTTCTGATCTCTGGAGAAACGGCTCTAACGCGCTCTAGGGAGGGATTTCCCGAGCGGGAGATGCGAGCAGCGTCCCCATCTCTGCGCCCACAGGGCGCCGCGCCCAGTCGGCGCGCTCGGGAAAGGGTCGCGCGCCCATCCTTCCCTGGAGCCACAGCGGAGAAAGGAGGGAACGTCCCCACCCAGAGCCTAGAGGGAGTGGGGGGAGAACAAAGGTCGGAAGTGGGTGGGGCAGGGCGTCAGAGACACTAAACGCCCTCGCGCCCACTTCTGCGAGGGGTACCTGAATCTCCAAAACAGAGACTCTCCCGCCGCGCCGGGGTGGGGTGAGTCCTCGCCGCGCGACACCCGCCGCCGCGCCTCCCAGTCTCTCCCTGAACAGATGTTTTCGTCCCTCGCGGAGATCTGCAACTGATGTCCGGGGGCAGCTGGTGGACGGCGCTAGCAACCTGCGTGGGTTCTAGAACATACCTGATGGGAGCTGCCGGGGAGAGGGGAGAGGCAGTCTGGAGGGGAAGGGGAAGGGCAGGGGAAGAATCGGGAGTGTGTGTATGAAAGACAAGAGAGAGAAATTTGTGTACACACGTGCGCGCACACTTCTCTACGTGTGTCATTTAAGAGCGGTTTTTTGTGTTTTTCGCGGTGAAGTCCGGCATGGCTGCGGTGAGCTTTCCGGCATTTTTGTGATCACCAAGTGAAGGAGAGAGGATGGGAAGCTAGCTTAGTAGTTTCCCATCTTAGTAGAGAGAAGATGGGCTAGCGTAGTAGTACGCCTGGATGGTCCGTGTGGAGGATCCCGGGAAAGAGAGCCTGTCCTCGTCTAGGAACTACACAACGTGGTGTCCACAGCCCGGGCCTTGCAAACTCCGCGACCCCCAGAGGCCCGGAAGAGGCTTCCTTCTCTGAGCCGGTGGTGACGACGAAGGCGCGGTGCGCCGACCACGTGAGAGGCGCAGATTAGCTTTGGACCACAGGGATCTGGGTGACAAAGCTCTGGGCGCCACCCTCGGTGTGGAGGGCGCGGGGGTTCTCACTCGGCCTGCAGGGGGCGCGCTTGGCCTCCCCGGGGCCCATCCCGGGGTCGGGATCCCCGGGGTCGGGATCCCCGGCGCCCGAGTCGCCCGCCCCTCCTGGAGGGGGCGCGCTGGGCCTCTGAGGTTCAGCCTTCGGCCTCCAGTTCAGTTCAGTTTCATTCAGTCGCTCAGTCGTGTCCGACTCTGCGACCCCATGGCCTGCAGCACGCCAGGCCTCCCTGTCCACCAAACTCACGTCCATTGAGTCGGTGATGCCCTCCAACCATCTCATCCTCTGTCGTCCCCTTCTCCCGCCTTCAATCTTCTGCAGAATCTCGGCCTCCAAGCTCTGGTTTAAAAAATAACTCGTGGAGGGGAAGCAGAAAGAGCAGAGCGCGCTTAGCTCTGCGCCGGGCGCCGGGGTTTCTTTCCCTCCTCTGTGCAGCCGCGCTGTGGAGAGTCTGACGGGGTATCCTGTCAGTTCTGGGCTCGGCGGTACCAAGGGAAGATAGCACCGGCGATGCCTCCCGCGGGGCTTCTGAGTCCTCGCGTTGCAGCGGGAAGCTGTCCTGAGGGAGGGAGCCCGACGGGCTGCGCACACGTGGCGATGGCACGCGTCGCTCCCGGAGGCTGCCCCCCAAGGCCTTTACCCAGCCATTAGGGACCGAGGCCGCGGGGCCCGCTGTGGGCCCGGAGTCCGGGAAGGGCATCCTGAATCCCAAACACACTTCTTTGGGCTGAGCCAAAACGATAGTGGGAAACACCGTGCCGGCCACTTCCGAACTCTTGAATTTCCTGGGCCTTGTCACTCCCTGAAAGTAGAGAACAGAGAAGGTGGTAGCGTCTGATTGACGGGTGGAGGTGAGTTCCCTGCGGTCCAGTGACTGGATTGTGTAGCTCAGTCCTTGTCATGGGAAGATCGCGGAGGAGGCAGCACGAGAAAAGGGGGTCTGAAAGGGACAGCTGGACGACCCTTTCCGGCCCTAGGGGACTGTGGAAGGATCTGAGCACCTGTGCCTCTGAGGGTACCAGTACGCCTCCTGGGAGGACGGGGTGTGCGGTGCAGGCGTCCGCAGAGGCACCGCCCTCTGGGCTTAAAGTGGTCAATAAGTGAGCAAACCCATCCAGTGGACTCTACTTGCCTCCATTCATCTCATTGCCTCCATTCATCTCATTGCCTCCATCATCCAAGCAGCGAGTACCACCATGAAACCCTCCTAACAGACATGCTTTTGCGCGATTGTCCCCCTTTGCAGACGTGAATTCCAGTGCCCAGAGTCTGCACGTTATAGGAGCTGGAGAGGACATATCTCCAGCCTGTACACAGGATTTCCCCGTGGGGAGCACCTTCCAGATCAAATAGAAGGCGGCTGGCAAATACCTTTTAAAAAATCCGTCTACCCATTTAATCAGGGCGAATTCCGATTTGGCTCCTTCAAACCTTTGTGATTCAAAGGGAACCTCAGCACCCCAGCCCCAAACTCAGCATCTTTTGTTTCCAGGTCCTTTTTGAACTGGAAGGATTTTTCAAAGCTCCCTCCAGCCTTCAAGCTCTGTGGGGTATTCCCTCTCTCCTGGCCTGGACAGAAAGTTCTAGGAGGCCCAGGCCAGGCACAGCCTCTCAGGCTTTGGGGAGATTATTTCAGCGCCTGCCTGTTGTAGGTGGGACACAGAGATTATTCCGGACTTTTCCCTTAAGAACACTTGTCCAGTCTGGGAAATCTTCCTAAGCTGGCACGCTTCCCCCTTTTCCCTGGGGAAGCTGAGTTCCTTCTCTGCTCTTATATACTCTCCTTTCTTTAAAGAGATTCTCCTGGGTGCCAATTCAGGGAAGAGATTAAAAGGAAAGGGAGTTTTTCTGCCCAGCAAGATGAAAGTGAAGTCTCTCAGTCCTGTCAGACTCTTTGAGACCCACCAGGCTCCTCCGTCCATTGGATTCTCCAGACAAGAATACTGGAGCAGGTTGCCATCTCCTTCTCCAGGGGATCTTCCCGACCCAGGGATCGAACCCAGGTTTCTGGCATTGCAAGCAGACACTTTAACCTCTGAGCCACCAGGGAAGCCCACCCAGCAAAATAGGATCCAGTAAAAGGGAGAGGCCAGACTTAAGTTGTGGACTGAGACCCCGAGACCAGACACCATTCCCTGGGTAAGGGTCTCCCTGATTTCCAGGGAATAAAGGTACCACACAAAAGACTTTTCTAGGTTCCCCTGGCAGCCAAGGGACAATGGGTGGATGTTGTTGCAAACCAGCAGTATGTTAAGTTGGCCATTCTATAGGTTCCTTCTGCTTTTTTAAGACGTGACAGAAAAATCCGAGTGAATTTTTCAGCCAACCCAATAGAAAAAGTACTGGAGAAAAGTTGTTGAATAATGAAGCCATCACAAGTGGAAGAATTCATACCCCTTTGGGAGAGTGAGGACAAGGAGCTGTGTGGGAAGTGCGGGGAAGATATTGCTAGTTCCATAATTTCATTTAAGAGACCTGAGGTCTGGACTTATTCCTCCTCTTACTTGAATCCTAGATCCTCCAGAAGAAAATTTTAAAAACCTTTGCCTTGGAAACAGAAGTAGTCATTGGCTGTTGGCTTTCAATACACAGGCGAATGATTTGGCGGGGGGCGGGGGGGGGGCAGGGGGCAGGGAGGGATGGGGAAGGGAGACCAGGAGCTCCTAAATTCCCTGTTTTAGGGGAAAGAAAGGGAGTGGATGAAAGAAAATAGCATAGTTGTAACACTGACCAACAGGTCAAGAAGAAGTTGACTCCAAACCCACCACCACCAGCTACTTGTAGCAAGATCTCCTGCAGGCTCCTGGGAGCTCTCACAGTCTCTAAGGATCAGTTCACCACACAGAGGTCTCTGAAGATGCATCCAGGTCTCTGGATGTCCACAGTGCATCCAGACTTTTCAGGTACAGAGAACAGCATGAGACAGACATGGAGGATGGCCAAGGAGTTAGATGTATTCATTTATATCTAATATCTTCTCAAGTTTTGTC